CTCACAGAGATCCGCCTGTCTCTGCCTCCTGAGTGCTGGAACCAAAGGCTTGCGCCACCACCGCCCAGCTAAAATTTATGTTTTTACACTGGAAATTTATGCTTATTGCAATTTTAAAAATCCAACGTCATATAAACACATGAGGTAAAAACCATTTCATTTTCTGAGTACACATTTTCCCATACCGGATATATCCCAGGTCTTGATGCATTCTGTAGTCTTGAGTCTTGGGGTGGTGGATGGTCGGCCATCTGTGGCTCAGCTCCAAAGTCTTTTAACTTTTGAAGCTGTTCTTTTTGTTCTCTGTAAACAAATGAAATTGCCATTGTACTTAAAGCATGTTTACATCATCCCTAAACAACCATGACTAAAACCAACTTTCAAAAATACAAGAAAGAAAAACAGCAAAAAACTTTATCCTAAAACTCTGTGCAGAGTCCATACTGCACCTCTTTGGTAACATTTTCTTGATTTTACACAACTAACCCATCAGCCCTCTAAGACCTACAATCATAAATTACCAATGATCTTCAAAGACAGACTCTACAACCTGCCTCCGTAGTACATTGCCTACCCATCATGTTTCTCTTTTAATCTTGCTAATTTTTTTCAATACTTCAAAAGTCACAAAACAGACTGTGAGTAAAATATAGTCTAGGAAGGCTTTTTTAGGAGGCCTGTTTTCTTTGGGAGATGGGGGTGTGAAACAGTCTCATGTATTCCAGGCTGGGCTCAAAATGGTCAAACAACTTTGAACTCGTTCTTTTGCCTCCACCTCCCAAGCACTGGGATTACAGGTATGTGCCGCCACACTTGCCTCTCATTATTTACATTATTATCATTATTTACAAAGGAAACACTTTACATAGGAATTGAGTTTCTAAAGAGTTTTGATTCATATTAGGCCTATATGCTCCCAAATCAACAATTAGCTATGTGGAGCCATGGCTGACATGTTAGATGAAGCAGTTCATCAAATTCCTCACCACACTCCAGAGTTCTACCTGGTCCACTTTCATTCATTTTTGTTACTCATCTCTTAAAAAACCCTTTTTGCATTATTTATTTTTACTTTGTATATGAGTGTTTTGCCTGCATGTGCATGCAGTGCCCGTGGAGGCCAGAAGAGGGCGATGGATCCCCTTGGAACTGGAGCAGACAGACAGTTGCTAGCTGCCGTGAGGGGTGCTAGGAATGGAACCTTGTTCCTCTGGAAGGAAGTCAGTACTCTTAACTACTAAGCCATCTCTCCAGCCCCACTTGCCTGATTCTTAAGAGCATTTTAGTTTACTATCTGCTTTAGATGGTGAGAACATTCGCCAGTCTATATTCTCAGAAACAGTACTTAGTATTCCTAAAGATTCATTTATACTGCTTATTTTACTCCCTAGCTAAAGTCCCTTTACTTTTCCTTACAATTCCCACCTTCTACATTTACAATGTCTACTACAACCTCTCCAGAATTTTTACAAACTCTCTTTATATACAATATTGTCACTCAAATGGACACAAAGTATATAAGACTTGTTACTGGCTCATGTAAATAGTGCTTATGGTATTCCTTGCCTTTATAAAGGCATACTATAATGTATGTATTATCAATTGCAATCACTAGTATCCATTACTCCATATATTTAGATCAGGTTTTGTTGCTTAGGAAGAGGTTGAAGAAAAAAAAAAAAGAGAGATGAATAAGCAGCACCTTTCATCCAGTAATTCTATGCAAAGCAACAATGCATGAAAAGGTAATGTTAAGTAAGGGAAGGGAAGAAATTGCAAGTTTAGTAACCAATCACCATTCAGTTTTTGTTCGCCATAAAAACAGATTTTAGAGTCAGAGTTCAAATTCTGGGTCTGCATTTAATAGCCTAGTGAATCTCAGCAAGTCTTAGTATTATCTGTGAAATGAGAATGATATTATTTTCTCTGCAAGTCTTTAGACAGATAAGGTTATTTAAGATGGGAGGACCAGTGCAGTGCCCAGCACAGAGTAGGTGTGAATTAAAAGTGCCCACAATTTAGAAGCAAGTAGCTAAATGTTCCAGGGCAAGCCTTATGTCATACTCATGAGTAACCTAGAAAAAAAGACTGCCTCAGACTCTTCTATAGATCAAAGAAACCATTTTGCCACCTGGAACATTATCTTTCATTTTAACCTACAGTTATGTTTTGTTATCATGTTTTTCTAGTACTAATGTTTCAGTTACAAATTCAACTAGTATGACTCGCAAATGTAGACCAGAATGAAAGATGAAACAAACACATAAGAATCTATCAAAACTTAACCATTTATTTTCTCAAAAACCTGTTTGGAAAAAAACAAAAACAAACAAACAAACAAACAAACCCCTACTATCACAACTATATGAGGAATATTATATAAAACTCACAAGTTGACTATAAGTAAACACAAAAAAATCCAACTACCCAATGAAAATACAGGAAGAAATACCTGCTTCCAGGTAAAATGAAAGATGAACATCCCCAAAACAAAGTATCAGTAGTCAGACAAATCTGAAGATACTCCCAGGTAAACCATTCTTCACACCAGCAGAGAAAAATAAAGCTCCTTCCCCCATCACATCAAAGACTACAGACTATGAAGCCTATCACAGCCAATGCCAAAGAACCAACTGCCTACTGAAAACAACGAAGGCTCAATATACGAGCCCTGTGAAATCCAGAGTCCTGAAAGGTTGAGATTTAACACTTGAAACATGCACACTCAAGGCATGCCAGAAACACATCTACAAAGGCCAAGAACAGCAATCAATTTGCACATCCTAGAGCATATTGTATAGTAAACAGTTTCCAAGTACCCATCCTAACCCCCAAACAGCACTGAATAACCAGAAATATAAATTCAAAGCTCTAGGAATTAAGGTTTAAGGTTTTAAGAAAACACTTCATCAAAAAAAAAAAAAATACAGTATGAAAATCTGTTTGAGCTAGAAGAAACGATCTTAAGGAGTGAACTTACCGAAGCATTTTCAATTCCTGTGCAGCTTTCAAAATGATTTCGTGCTGCCTCTGACTGAGAACCATTACCCCTCCAAGGCCTTGGTCAGAGTCTAAATTTGCATCGGACCCCATCATTTCAGAGGAATGATGTGAGGATGGCATATGTTCCGCCATGGGGGAATGTCTATCCACATCAGATGGGTACCATCTGTCTGACAACCGTTCTCTTTCCCAGTCCATTCTGTCAGGAACATAATCTCTCTTTTCCCGCCATGTATCTCCTCTTTCTGGATACTCTCGAATCCTTAACTCACCCCTATCACGGAAATCTCGGTCATACCCATGGTCTCGATTTCTTTCTTCTCTCCATCTATCATCCCGGTATCTATCCAAAGGTGGAAGAGGTGGGAGGGGTGGCAAAGGTGGAAGAGATGGAATATCCCGTTCACGAAACTGTGATTCTTGTTCATCCAGTGGTCTCCCATAATCTCTGTCCCACTCATTATCCACATTTCTATCATATATATCCATGGGTCTTCTAATCCGATCCATGTCTCTGTCTAAGTCCCTGTCCATTTCCCTACCATAACCCTCATCCATATCCTGATCTCTTTCCCAATCATCCCACCAAGGGCCTCGCCTGTCTCCATCATGAGACCGAGAGGGTGCTGAGAACCTGTCCTCTCCGCTGTACGGATCTAGTGTATCATCTTGATAGTCACGTTCACACTCTCTCCAGTATTTCTCTCTATCCCAGTCATCGAGTCTTTCTCGCTCAATTGGAGCACTTCTACTATCTAATGGAAACTCTTCGTGTCCTCTCTCTTCTCCATGGTTCCACGGAGCCCTTGGAGGTTCATCTCGGTGATAAGGATACATTTTCTCCCCACCATCTCCTGGTTCTGGTCTGAATGGAACTCTATCATGACCAAAATCTGGTCTTCCTAGTCCCCTTTCTCGACTGCCTGGCCCCCGAGGTGGTCCCTTCTCTCTGCTCCCAGCTCTTCGGGGGGGTACTCTCTCTCTACTTCCGGCCCTTCGAGGAAGTCCTCTCTCCTGACTGCCAGCCCTTCGAGGTGGTCCCCTTTCTCGGCTGCCAGCTCTACTGTCCTGGCTGTCTTGTGGACTACCTGGTACTTTATTCCGACTGCTTCCTGGCCTCACCAACACCCTGTCCCGACTGCCTTCTCCTCTGTTCATTTTCTCATGACTGTCTTCTCTTCTACCCATCATCTTATCATGGAAGTCTTCTTGTTTGACCAGCCCTGGACCTTGACTAATTGTCTGGCAATGGCCTCTGTTTACTAGTCCTTTATCCCGTGTACCTTCCACTCTGTTTTGCTCAGGACCTCTGTAAGACGTGCTGCTGTCTTTATTGCCTTCTAATCTATTTTCTTTGCTGTCTGGCTGAGGCAGACCTTTTCCTTGGTTGTTTTCTGAGTGGGGCAAACCAAAACCAAAAGGTTTGAAATTATCTGCAGTCAATGCTGCTGCTACTGCTCCCACTATGTTCTCTAGTTTGAAGGAAAAGGTAGATGGAGTAGGTACAGGTTTTTTGGCAAGGAATAGAGGTCGAGTAACACCTTTGGCTTTGTCCATTTCAGTATCCATAGTTTGAGAATTCTGGTTCCAATTAGAGGGCTCTACATGCCCTTCCGAGACTTGGCCTTTAGGTGGCTCTTGTTGAGAGTCGCTTAAATTCTCATTCGACTGAGCCGCCTTGGTGTCCTTGACATCTGCAGCAGTGGAAAATGCAGCTGATTGCATTTTAAAATTCTTCTGGTTACTACTTGTGCCTGCTAATGGTTCTTTGTTTCCTGAAAGAGGCTCTGCTTGTGACTTAGGTTGCTGCTGATGCTGCTGTCCAACAGTTGCTTTGGGGCCTTTCCACTGTGGTCCACTCTGTCGAGGGCTTAGGGATGTACTGGGAGTTATATAAAATTGAGATGCTGGACCCCGGGGGATTGTTCCCCATTTGCTTTTAGTGCCCTCTGCTGGGTGACTTTCATATCTGGGTCTTGGCCCATCGGAGAGATTTCCTTCAAAACGAGGCCCTTTGGGTCTCGGTCCTTCACACCTTGACCCTAAATCCTCAAATCTTCGAGGACCATCAAATCTACAAGTAAAACAAAAGATATTACTCAAGACAGTAAAGCAGGAAAAGGAAATTCTCCATGTAAGATTATTTAAGGCACTCTTGCCTCAGACTTTGTTTATAACAGTGACTCAGTCATTAGCAAATCCCATGTCACTTATCAGAAACTGGAATGTTAAGGCAACAGTGCCTGGAAGATTTTAGGTCTAGATTTAGAAAGCATGCCAGCATTATCTAACTCACTTCAACCAATCTGCAACAAGTCACTGATCTAATGAAATGTTAAAAAGCAATTATAAGTGTTGTGCTTTAGTACATGCAATAGTCCACTCCTTTTTACAGAAAAAAAAGATTCCAAACTATGAGTACTTTTAGGGTTAAATATTATAACTAAAAACCAAGTATGGAACATTTAGCAGAAAATACAATATAATTATAAATATTGTTGGAGCAAGAACTAAAATCTTTGATTTACAAATGTCACACACGCATGCATACACACACCCACATGCATACACACATGCACCATATTTTAAAAGTGTTCTCTAAAGTTTTTGAAAGTTTAGACAGAAATTTGATGGTTATGGACCACTCAATAATTAAAGAAAACATTCCTCCCATCAGGTAGTATACTACACACAAGAAATAATAAAATGCCAGGGCTGGAGAGATGGCTCAAGCAGTTAAAAAGCACTGGCTGCTCTTCCAAAGGACTCGGATTCAATTCCCAGCACCCACATGGCAGCTCACGACTGTCTGTAACTCAAGTTCCAGGGTATCTGATACCCTCATACAGACATACATGCAGGCAAAACCCCAATGTACATTACATAAATAATTTTTTTTTTAAAAAAGGAAATAATAAGATGTCATCAGGGCCTTCATACTCTACAATCAAATAAAAAATAATAAGTGTAGATAAAGTGTCAACAGATAAAAAGACAACAGGCAGAGAATACTCAGCACCATCCGGGTGAGAAGAGCACCACCCTATAAATGGTTTATAAGGCAGAGATGCTTCGCTTGAGACTTAAAAGGCAACTTCTGATAGGATGGCAAGGGTACCTCAGGCTAAGAAAGCAACATGAGAGGGAAAAAGGCAGAGAAGCACATACCTTGTTTGCAAATGGTTTAGTGTGGCTGAAGCAGAGGGGAGTTGGGAAAAAAATGAGTAGAAAGACAGCACGCTAAGGAATATGGCAAAGAGGTAGGTGGCTGATGGTCTCTAGAAGACCTACTTTGTTTGCCTTGTATAGTAGGTACGACTGATGAAATCCAATACTCACTCCCCTTCTCCAACTCTAATCCAGCCTCCACACTTTCAGTCTTACTGTAGACTCTTTCTCAACCTCTCTTGTAGCTACAACTCACACCAAGCTCTAGCAAAAGGACTAAGAATGGTTTGACACATCCTTCTGGGTAGTCCCTGTGTATATTAGAGCTCACCCTCCCCTTCACACTTCCTCCTTTCGCGCTGCTTCCAAACAACAAGGAACCCGAGTTCTAAGTCATTGTATGAACCTTGAGATTGAGAAAGAATCAATTTCTAATCTGTTAAAGGCTTCTGCCTTTGGATCTCTAGAAGACTGATTAATTCAGCTGGTTAAAAAAGTTTACAATAATTTTATAATTGCTTTAGAGTCACTAAGTGCAGTCCAACCTTTAAAAGATTCATTAAAAAAAAAAAAAA